TCATCCATGGAAAAAATAGATAAACTTGACTCTTGTTGAGGAGTTGAGGGTGGGGTATTTTCTTCTTGTGATCTCTCTTGAACATTGTCATTTCCATTCATTGATTCATCCAACTCCACGAACATTTCTTTTCTTCCGCATATATGGTTGCTTGTGCCACTGTCAAGAAACCATGAGTTGCTACTTTCACTCTCTTTTTCTTTAGATGCCAACAGGAATATTGGTTCTTGATCTACTTTGGATTTTTCTATAAAGTTCACTTGTTCTCCATTTTCTTGGGAATTCTTAAATCTGCATTCAGAACTGTAATGGCCGAATTTTTTGCCATTAAAGCATTGAATCAAAGATCTATCATATCTTTGATGATTGAATGGTCGAGTAAAGTTTCTACCACCTCGACCTCTTGAGGATTGAAACATCTGGTTGTTTCTTTTTCCTGCATTGAAATTGGAATTGTCATAGTATCGTCCACTTCTATTAAATATCCCACATCCTCTTTGACGTCTACCTCTAAATCCTCCTCTTTCATCTTTTGGGGAGAGATTAGTTTGGAGCACTTGTTCCAAAGGGGTGTTTGTTTTCTTCATTATTCTTTGTTCATGGGCTTACAAGGAACCCACGAGTTGATCGGTAGTCATAGTCGACAAGTCTTTATTTTCTTCTATTGCTACAACTATGTGCTCAAATTTATGGGTAAGAGATCTTAATATTTTCTCCATGATACGCACCTCATCTAGCACTTCACCATTTCTCTTGAGTTGGTTTGCTATTGCCAACACTCTTGAGAAGTAATATGAAATTAATTCTGTCTCTTTCATGTGAAGCATCTCGAACTCGGCCCTTAATGTCTGCAAACGAACTTTCTTCACTTTTTCTTCTCCTTTGAAAACATTTTGTAAGATCACCCATGTTTGTTTTGCAGAGATGGCGGAAGCAACCTTTTCAAAGGTGCTTTCCTCAATGCCCTGATAGATTAAAAATAGAGCTCTCTTGTCTAGTCTCCTTGATTCTTTTAGGGCAACCTTCTGACTGTTTGTCATTTCTGCTTTTTCTTCTGGGCTTCTAGGTTCATTGTATCTTTTTACAACAATTTCCCACGCATCATGTGATCCGAGTAGTGCTTTCATCTGAATGCACCAATTTTCATAATTTTCTTTTGTAAGACAAGGAACTTGTGGTTGGAACATCATACTTGAGGATGCCATCTTTTCGAACCTTGCTTTGATACCTGTTTGATAGATATTTATTGCAACAAAAAAGAGTTCAAAATATAAAACAAAAGAGTTTCGACTCAAAAACTATATAGGATGGTTGGATTGAATCAATCGACACTTTCACTATTGCTTTAGAATAGAACACAAGGCTGTAGTACAATAGAGCAACCACAATCTTTCACTTACGCCTAAGTCACCCTTTCTATTTCAACACACACATTACATCACAATAATGTCTTACTATTTATAGACTCAATTAACCGCCTATACATATCGTCTACGAAGGGCCACATGGCCCATCACATTGTACATCTCTTTTTACCAATCACCCCTTCACATTGTACACCTCTTTTCACCAAGCACCCCTTCACATTGTACTCCTTTTTTCACCAAGCACCCCTTCACATTGTACACCTCTTTTCACCAAGCACCCCTTCACATTGTACTCCTTTTTTCACCAAGCACCCCTTCACATTGTACACCTCTTTTCACCAAGCACCCCATTGTACACCTCTTTTCACCAAGCACCATATCAGTTTAGTTAAACCGTCTCTTATGAATCTTCTAGAGAGAAGGAATGAGCATAGTCACTAAAAGACAAATTAATATTCACCATCAAGTGCTATCACAGATATATATTTGATAACCCATCAATATTTCAAATTCATATCGCCGCATTGATATTAGAGATGCTTTATTCTCTTCAAAATTCCTTAAAAACGATACTAAGCGATCACCAAGTTTCGAATTAACTCACTGCCACTGTAGGAAAGCTCAGGCCTAAGAAAATTTCAATTCTCCCAGACTCACCAGCAAAAGTAGTAAAGGAGAAAAATCTAAATTTCAAAGAAGGCCTTAAAACCCTGAATGATGGAGTAGAGGGAAGATTTTGAAAAATTCATCGGCTTTTTATTCCATAAACACTAGGAGACTGAGAAATTCTGCAGAGAGTTGAATTCATTGATAAAGTGCTACTCGAACATGCGAAAGAGAGAGATGGAGACCCTATGAGACAACCGAATTCATGCGAGCGGTGTTATTTTAGTATTTGTTTGGATAAAAAATTCATAGTCAAAGACATCCAAGGGTTGTAAGATAGAAAATGTAGAAACCCTTTGCTACAAGTAATATTTTCAATCTTTGGGTCTCATGAGAAATAGAAATAAAAAATAGAGGATAAGGAGGTATTTTTCTTTTTATTATTGGTATAATATGATATTACCATATTAAGATAAAAATATAATATTGTAATAAAATATAATAATATTATATGTCACTATTATAGTGTAATAGAATAATATATTATAATATAATAATATTAATATCAATTATTTTGATGATTATCTCATAACAAATATAAAAAATAATGATGATAACGATGATGATAATAATAATTCTAAGAATAATAATAATAATAATGATAATAATAATGATAATGATAATAATAATAATAACAACAATAACAAAAAAAAAAAATTTGGTTCAAAATTTAATCATGGATTCTATTAATTGTAGGTTTGAATCGGAACAATCACTTGGTTTGAATCAGAATGATCGGAGTACCCAAATGATTCCTATATGCAAGGTGAAATCTGCATGTTTTAGAGGGCTTTAAAAAAAAATTCCTCCAATTGTATTTGTTTTCCCTCATTGTTTGACCATTTTTTCTTAATTTGTCAAAAAATCTTCATCTTTGAGTCCTTCATAAAATCTGAAAATAAGTTTTCGGATTCGAACCCTTTCGATCAAAATCAAGCACTCGAGTGAGAGATTTTCCAAAAAACTTAATTTTTGGGCTTTTTCTTATAGTTTAAACTAGATCTGAAATCGTTTTAATCTTATTGTTTTAAATCAGATTTGTTTGCTTAATACATCTCGCTATCACAACGATAGCGAGATGTAATGCGATCATTTCATTGTATTAAGGGTGTCGTTGGCATACAGAT